AGGCAAAGCCCTTAAGCCTAAACCAGTAACACAGTTTTTTCACAAGTTCATAGATGTGACTGTGGATAAATAACACACAAATTCACTAAAAGCCAGGTGTGTCCATGTGGTAATTTTGGTCCTTATTTTTATTTTTATTTTTCAGTTAATGGATATTACAGATACAACCTTTTTTTTTTTCTTTTTTTGAGACAGGGTCTCACTCTGTCGCCCAGGTGAGTGCAGTGGAGTATCAGAGCTCATTGCAACCTCCGCCTCCTGGGTTCAAGAGATTCTCCTCCTCAGCTTCCTGAGTCTGGGATGCAGGTACATGCAACACACCTGCCTAATTTTTGTACTTTTGTAGAGACAGGGTTTTACAATGTTGCTCAGGCTGGTCTTGAACTCCTAAGTTCATGATCCACCTGCCTCGGCCTCCCAAAGTGCTGGGATTACACATGTTGAGCCACCATGCCTGGCCTAAGATATATAACTTCTATTCTGAGGAGGTCCAAGAACTATTTTCTTTTTCTTTTTTTAATGTTAGAAAGGGATTCTTAACTGAGTATGTGCTGCAGCAAAGGCAGGGGAAATTAAGCAAGAAGAGAAGGGAGCCAGGAAATAAAGGCCCCAACCCAGGAAGCAGTTAAGCAAATTCCGGGATGACCACACGTGACAAGTTTAGGGGATAACTTGAGCACATGGAGGACAGAACTCGGAGAGGGCACTGCGGGCATGGGCCCCATCCGCTCTGCCAGAGCACTGGAGGAGAACGAGGGCATGATAATGGTAGATGACACTGAAAGAAAAGGAAAGAGCATGAGGCACCCTTGGGGGAAGCAGCCATCATCAGAGTGTATTTTATTTTTATTTTATTTATTTTGAGGATGGAGTTCCTCACCTCTGTTGCCAGGCTGGAGTTGCAGTGGCATGACTTGGCTCACTGCACCCTCTGCTCCCAGGTTCAGATCGTATTCTCGCCTGACCTCCCAGTAGCTGGGACTACAGGGGGGCCCACACGCCGGTAGAATTTTTGTATTTTTAGTAGAGACAGGGTTTTCTCCATGTGGCCAGGCTGCGTCTTGAACTCCTGACCTCAGGTGATCCCCTGCCTGTTGGCCTCCCAAAGTGTCTGGGATATAATAGGGTGAGCCAGACGAGCCTGACCTCACAGCGCATTATTAAGCTCTGTGGTAATAACCTATCTCTATTAGTCACAATTCTGTAAACACTGTTAATTTTCTAAAATTGTGGCAGAACCAAACGCTCAAGGAATGGACAGGCTGGGGTATAAAAGAGCTAAGTGCCTTGCCTGTTTACTAGGAGGCAATAGATAAGTGTCTTTTTAAAACTGATGAGACAGCTGGGCACGGCTGGCTCACGCTGTGAATCCCAGGCACTTTGGCGAGGCCAAGGCGTGTGGATCATTGTCGGGGCTCAGAAGTTGGATCAGCCTTGACAACATGTTAGGTGAAACGCCCGCGACTACTAAAACACACAAAATTAGGGCGTTCGGTGCGTGTGCCTGTATGCCCAGCTAGTAACGGGTAGGCTGAGGCAGGAGCATTACTTGAACACCCAGGAGGCGGAGGTTGCACGTGAGCCAAGATGCGCCACAGAACTCCAGCCTGGCGTGACAGAGCAAGACTGTGTCTCAAAATAATATAATAATAATAAAATAAAAACAATGAGACGCTGCAGGAAGTGCAGGGGAGAAGCAACCAGAAGATTCTGCTGAAAAGGCTGTCCCCCAGACAGCGGTGGGGACAATGCTACTGCTGTTTGTCGTTATGTCTTCATCCCCATTCGCGCTTAATGTCGCCATGTTGAATTGTCAAACCAGGGTATCGTAATAACATTGTTGTTAAGCCAATTTTGTTTTTCTTTTCTCTTTTTTTTTTCGGCGAGACGGAGTCTCTGCTTGTCGCCGGGCTGGAGTGCAGTGGCCGGATCTCAGCTCCTGCAAGCCTCCGCCTCCTGGGTTCCACGCCATCTCCTGCTCAGCCTCGCCGAGTAGGCTGGGACTACAGGCGCCCAGTCACTCGGCCGGCTAGTTTTTTGTATTTTTTTTTAGTACAGACGGGTTTCACTGGTGTTAGGCCAGGATGGTCTCGATCTCCCTGACCACTCGTGATCCGCCGCGTCTCGCCTCCCAGAAGTGCGGATCTCAGCAGGCTTGAGTCCCACCGCGGCCGGCTTGTTTAACCAAATTTTTAAAAAAGAGAGAGTGGAAAGAAACAGCTTCCTACAACAAAACTGAAGAGCACACCAGTGATTCCAGGGTCCAGAGAGGAGGGTGCATTAACGCTAGTTTCATGATTTCAATCAGATGCCAAGTAAGGATGTATCTGGGGTTCAGACAAGAAAGGCTCTCATTCAAGTGCTTAAAAGAGCAATGGAAGGCAAGGACCTGCCCAACTGGCAGGGTGAAAATTAGCCAGAACTGGAATAGTAACAGCTGTTCATCTTTGAGCACTTAACTACAGGCCAGAACTTGCATTAAGGATATCAGCTTTTTCTTTTTTTCTTTTTTTTTTTTTTTTTGGTGGTGGTTGGTTTGAAACAGAGTCTCACTCTGTCATGTAGGCTGCAGTGCAGTAGCGCAATCTCAGCTCACTGCAACCTCCGCCTCCCGGGTTCAAGCGATTCTTGTGCCTCAGCCTCCCAAGTAGCTGGGACTACAGGCATGCACCACCATGCCTGGCTAATTTTTGTATCTTTGGTAGAGATGGGGTTTCACCACGTTGGTCAGGCTGGTTCCGAACTCCTGGCCTCGAGCAATCCACCCGCCTCAGCCTTCCAAAGTTATGGGATTACAGGCGTGAGCCACTGTGCCCAGCCAGGATAGCATCATATTTGATCCTCACATCAACTGACATTAGCCCCAATTTACAGATGAGGAACTGAGGCTCAGAGAGGTTTTGGCACTTGCCTGAGGTCACACACTCTGGGCTCTCTGCTTGTGACTTACTTCTCTTTCCTGAACATCAGTAAAATTCAATTTAGAAATTTCTGTCTTAAGTGCTATCTCAAGGGGCCTGTGAAAAATGCTGACTCTGTGGCAGCTGTCTTAGCCTCATACTCATTGGGTTGCCCTGGGCCCCACACTGTTTTAAAGAAGTCCCAGCAAATAATATGGGGTAGAGTCAGATTCAGACCTAAGCAGCTCTGGCTCTAAAACCCACTGAACAAAGCTGCAACTAGAATCAGAAAGAACTAGGTGAGAATCCTACTTCTAGCACTTACTAGATCTGTGGCTGTGGCCCCCCACAAGTTACTTAACCTCTTTTTTTTTTGTTTTTCATTTTATCTTTTTAGAGACGAAGTCTCGCTCTGTCACCAGGCTGGAGTGCAGTGGCGTGATCTTGGCTCACTGCAACCTCTGCCTCCTGGGTTCAAGCTATTCTCCTGCTTCAGCCTCCTGAGTAGCTGGGACTACAGGCATGTGCCACCACACCCAGCTAATTATTTGTATTTTTAGTAGAGACAGGGTTTCACCATGTTGGCCAGGATGGCCTGGATCTCTTGATCTCATGATCCACCCACCTCGGCCTCCCAAAGTGCTGGGATTATAGGCATGAGCCACCATGCCTGGCCACTTAACCTCTTTTAAACCTATTTTCTCATCCACACAATGGAGATAATGGTAGCACACACCTTTCAGGTGGCTGATAAGGAATATAAGGTGAACACAGGTGCCTATGTGGGTTCCTCCATTTTCCATAAATGTTAATTCCCTTACCCCTCATCTCCTAGGTTAGTCCCGGAGGACAGACTTGAAGTTTGAAAACAGAAAGTAACTGCCAAAAGGGATTATTTAAGGCAGAGATTCCCCCCTTTTATTATCCTTTAGGTCCCCAGTGGTGAGGGCAGGGGACAAGAGAGGTGGTGGGGTCAAGCCCAAATTCTTGGACCTCATCCTAGAGTGACTCTTTAGGGTTAGTGTGGGGTTAGGAATCTGCATTTTGGACCTATCCCCAGGGCATTCTGATGCTTGTAGTTCTCCTATCTGGCTTTGAGTAACTCTGGGTAGTGCTTTAAATCTAAGCTGACAGACCAGTGGGATGTGAACCGTCCTTGCAAATATTTTGAGCCCTTCCTGCACTGGCCTCCAACTCTGCCTTGCTCAGTCTGTCTTCAGCTCCCCTTCCATTCCGGTCCTCTCCCATTACCCTTTCCTTTCTCACTTGCTTTTATTTTTTATTTTATTATTATTATTTAAAAAATTTTTTGAGACAGGATCTCACTCTGTCACCCAGGCTGGAGTGCAGTGGCACTATCTTGGTTCACTGCAATCTCCGCCTCCCGGGTTCAAGCAATTCTCATACCTCAGCCTCCCTAGTAGCTGGGACTACAGGCGTGCACCACCACACCTGGCTAATTTTTGTATTTTTAGTAGAGATGGGTTTCACCATGTTGGCCAGGCTGGTCTTGAACTCCTGACCTCAAGTGATCCACCCGCCTCAGTCACCCAAAGTGCTGGAATTACAGGCATGACCCACCGCGCCCAGCCTCCTTTTCCACTTCCTACCTTCCTCCCCACCTCTGGGTGCACCCTCCCCTGAGCTCAGCCTGTATTCCTGTCTGCTGGCCACTTACCAGCCAGTCTCCTCACCTGTGATGCCCTTTACTCACCTAGAAAGCTCACATCAAAAGTCGCCTCCTCCAGGATACCTCTCAAGTTCTCCTCTCTGGTCCCTTGGCCCTTTGCGGGTACCTTTTTTCTTGTGTAAGTCACATGATAATGTGAGGGTTTTTTTTTCCCCATCTGGAGTCTGCCTGGTGGGCTCATGGTCCATTTGTGGAAACATGCATTTCCCTCTTCTCCGCTCCCCTCCTTCATGATCCATGCTTTATGCAGCTTCCCCAAGGCATGCAGAGCAAGCTGAGAGGAGGTAGACAAGCCTGCAGACCTTTCACAGAAGCGAGGTGGCTTGGGAAGTAAAAGACGAGGAGATAGGGGTTCCTAAAAAGCAGACAAGAGATTACCGAGGGGTTCCCCACAGCGCCAGCACACAGCCGCTGCACAAAAATGCAGTGGAATTACTGAGGGACATTATGTGCTTGATGGGGGACAGGGAGTGATTGTGCCAAGCCACCAAGGATCATGCTGTGCCAGTTGTATACTATCCTTTTGCCAAGGTGAAATGATTTCCCTACTAAATCCCTTACTTTCCACTTTGTTTAAAATGAGTTTAATACCAAGAGAGTAGTTTGTGTCTATGTCCTTATTTCTAATCTTCCTGCTCAACCATTAACCGCACTAAACACACTCAGACCCATCTAGTCTAAAATTGAGAAGGGGAGGTTCTCACTCCTGGAGAGAGAATTACTGAAAGGGTGGCCCTGATACAGTCCGGAGTCACACTCCCAAGTGCTGGTTTTAAACTTGAAAGCAGACAGCAGGACTCTGACCTTTGCAGAGATAGGAGGGACACCTTCCTACCCAGAGAAGCCAAAAGAGCACAGGATGCCCAGGCCGAGGGCAGTGAAGCTTGCTTCCAAGAACTGGTCCGTTCCCCAGCCAACCCCTGTGCCTACTTAGGACTGGCATGTAGCAGCACCTCTCCTCATCCACACTCAGGCCCTAGGCTCCCAATTGACCAAAGCCTGCAAGTATAAAGTGTCCAGAGCATGGGTCCCTGCCAACACTCCCTGCCCTGCTCTTCACTAGCTGTGGTCACCACTGATGACATTTTGTCCCGAGTTCATCTGAAAGAGCAATGTCACTTTTGTGTTGGAAAGGAGACATACAGGCCAGGTGTGGTGGTTCATGCCTGTAATCCCAGCGCTTTGGGAGGCCGAGTCACGAGGAACGCCTGAGGCCAGGAGTTGGAGACCAGGCTAGGCAACACAGTGAGACCCCGTCTCTACAAAATAAATAAATTTTTAAAAATGAAAAAATTAGCTGGGCGTGGTGGTGCACGCCTGTAGTCCCAGCTACTTGGAGGCTGACGTGGGAGGTAGTGAGCCGCCACAGCACTCCAGTCTGGGCGACACAGTGAGACCCTGTCTCAAAAACAAAAACAGAAAGGAACAAAGAAATCCTCTACATGGCTAGAAGAGAATAACCGGGCCCCTAAGCTTCGTGCCAGGCGGTGCTAATGGGCGAGTTACACACGGGAGAGTGCCCAAGGGGACCTCAAGGCGTTCCCTTGGGATAAGGCATGGTCAAAACAGCTATGTTTATCCTGAAGCGAAAGGCGGAGGCTCCAGTTTGGGTCCCGGCTCCGCCCCACGGGCTGCACTGCTGCCCTCGGGGAGGCAAAGATAGGGCAGGCGTTGTTAGTCTCACTCACAAGTGGGAACTCTTCAACCGAGGGAGGCGAAGTGATAGCCCCAATGTTGCATGGATGGTTCTGAGGCCAAACGAGGTCAGGAACCCAGAAGCCAGGATCTAGTTTGACGTAGACCTGCGGGAGGCGGGCGGTAACGGACGCGTTCCCCCTGACACCGGTGCCTTCGCCTATTTGCACCCCGCAGGCGCTCCCGGTTCCCCAGCCTCCTACACCTCGCATCTGCCCTGGGGCTCAGCTCCCAGGGACTTCCGGGAGCAGCTGGCCCCGCCCCAAGGCTCCTTCGGGCCGCGCGATTGGCACGGCGGGCCGGGGGCAGGGCCGGAGCGCCGAGCCAACGTGATGGCGTCAGGGGCCGCGGGCGCCGCTTCCTGTTGTCAGTGGCCGAGAGGCCGCATCGTCTGCTCCGAGTGCTGAGGAGCTGCCGCGGCCGGGAGCGCCCCCAGCCTCGCTCCTCGCTCCGCTTGGTGAGTTAGGGGGTCAAGATGCGAGGAGGGCGGCGGAGGGGCGGCGGGGCCGAGGCGCGAACGGGCGGTGGGCCTCCTGCTCCCTCCGCGATCCCCAGCGCCTGGTTACCCTGAGACTGCCCGGCTTCAGAGCCCTCAGCTCTGCCCAGCCTGCGCCCGCCCCGCTCCCACCCAGCCTTCCCCCTGCACCGCCGCTGTGGCCCCGTGCCCCACGTCTGTCCAGCCCCCAACCCGCGCCCGCATTCCCTCACCGGCGGTCTTGCTTAAATGCAGCTTCACTCGTGACCCCACTTTACCTTAGTTCCAACCCCGATCTCGGCCACGTCTCTTCGCCCCGCCCTGACACACCTCATCGTCTCTCCCGACCCCTCTGGTAATCCCGATGCTCCTCGCTCACGTCCCCAAGACCCACCATTCAGGTTTCCCCTTCTCTGGCTCAGCTTTCTTATCCCAGTCACCCCCATCCCCTCTCCAGCTCCCCAAGATCTGCTCATCCCAAACACTCTACCTCTGCCTTCTCATCTAAGACCCACCCCCAAAGTAAGTGCCCTGTTGAGCTCACCGCTTTCTTCCGGATAACTCCGATCTCAGCCTTATTCCAAGTCTTAACTGTGTCTTCTCGTCCTTAGTCTCCTAGCCCTCTGTATACCTTCCTTTGCGTCTCCTGCCGTACTGAGGACACCCCATCCCTAAGTCTTTGCCAAACTATCTCTAACTCTTGCTGCCTCCTTTCCTACCACCCTCACCCAATCTTGTTAAAAATGACATCTCCATGTCCTTTCACCCCCGCTGACCGACCGCAACTCTTCACCCCAACTCTGCGTCCATTCCTTCCCTGGACCCAACTCCCATTCAACCTGAGAACTTTAGTGCAGAGTCTCCTGCCAACTCCACCAGCTGCCCCTCAACAGCCAAATGTAGGTGCTCACTCAGACCCTCAGTTAGAGACTGAGCAGCATGATTGGCGGGTGTAGGGGCTCAGGTGGTAAATAAGGGTGGAGGAACAGTGGGCTCTCCCCAACTCTTGGGTGGGGCCAGGGTTTTTCCTGGCATCTGGTCTCCTGTACCTGTCCTCAGGGACTGTGTTTCTGGCATTTATATTAAATGACTTGTGCTGGCTGCTGGAATGGTAGGTATCATTCAAATACCTGGAAGGTGAGAGATGGCCACTTACTCAGCTCACTTAGCACAGAATGATGGAAGCTGTCACTTCCTTCTGGCTGGTGTTCTGGCCCTGGAGAGCCTCTGGGAAGTTCTGCGTGGTGTTGGCTGTGGTCACAGAACATTGTTCATGTTCCTTTTCCTGTAAGGAACTTGTAAGGGCCTCTCCCTGCCAGAGCTGATGGCAGATCAATCCTGATGCTGAATTCAGGGGATATGATGGGTGCCAGAGACAGTGTTACCTGTTGTGAAGAGTATAGGTGAGTAGATCCTGGGGAGGCTGAGGTCTAGGTGGGTACAGAGGCTCTTGAATCGCTTTCTTTTCTTGCAAGTGCTGGATCATTGACTTTTGGCCACTTGGGTTCCATGAACACAGGAACCACGTTATCTCAGAGTAGCTGAGGGAGAAGGACGTTCCAGAGGCACCCAAGTCTCATGCTCAGCGTTTATAGTTTCCGGGGGGCTTTTTGGTACACATTTTCTCTGAATCCCGAGGACCCGGCATCAGATGGGTGAGCCATTTGATTGCAGTTTTTTTCTTTCTTTCTTTCTTTTTTTGCAATGGAGTTTTACTCTTGTTGCCCAGGCTGCAGTGCAGTGGCACGATCTCGGCTCACCACAACATCTGCCTCCCAGGTTCAAGTGATTCTCCTGCCTCAGCCTCCCAAGTAGCTGGGATTACAGGCATACACCACCATGCCTGGCTAGTTTTGTATATTTAGTAGAGATAGAGGTTTCTCTGTTGATGAGACTGGTCTCCAACTCCCGACCTCAGGTGATCCACCCACCTCGGCCTCCCAAAGTGCTGGGATTGATTACAGGCGTGAGCCACGGTGTCTGACTGATTGCAGTTTTAAAGGGCCCCAAAGAACATTGTCTCTGCTTGCCATTTATAGTCGTACTCCTTTGAAAAAGTGAATACTGTTTACCGTCAATGTCCTCCCATTAATATGCAGTATATTTAAGTCGTTTTCAGCCTTATTGGCAGCTTGGCTTAATGACAGGAGCTCCACAGTTGCCCCAGCACTTAACAGTTGTTATACCCCAACTTCCCACATTGGGTGAAATCGAGATTCCTGCCCTGTGTCTTGTTTTTATTAATCAATTCATTCAACAGCTTATTTTTTGAGCACCAGTGTTTGCCAAGCACTGTTCTAGGTACTAGAAATACATTGGTGAATGGGTGAGGCAACAGTCCTGTTTTCATTCAGAGTTTGGTCCTTGTTAGAATCCTCTGGGATATGGGACAAGAATATAGGGAAGATGGGTGTTATTGGATGGAAGGAAGGAGGGAGGAAAGAAAGATAGCCAGTGTTCACTGACTTCACAATTCTGCCCTCATCCACTAGCCCTGAGTCTGGGAATCACAAGCTAGAAGTTTCTCACCCTTCATCTGGTATTTAATTGCTTCAAAACTCCGACCCCCACCACCCCACCCATCACAGAAATCCAGCTTTCCTCAGGTGGACAGGGGTGCAGTTTCCTCAGTCAGCACTCACATGCCTGAAAGATCAGCTGCCTTTCTGAATCAGAGGATAACTTTGTCATTCTTTTCCAATTGAAAAAACATGACTCATCAATTGGTACAGCAGTTGGATGGCTTAAAGCCAGGCTGTGGCTCTGAACAGCCAGTTACACAATTCAGGCAGTGGAGAGAAGGCCGTGGGGAGTGGCTGAGAAGTCCCTCAAGAGAAGAGCTTGCTGTTCACTGATGGTGGAGTGTTTTGAGAGTGGTGAAACCAGGTTATACCTTTCTTCTTTTAATGTAAGTCTCATCCAAGTCATTCTCTTTTTTTGCTTCCTTGATCTCTGGAGGAAGTGAAATTGGACGTATAGAGAAGGCCAGGTAGTATAATGCAGGAAACCAACCGGAACTGTTCCTTCCTAACTATGTTGGAACATTTAAGAAAGTATAGCTCTGAGACTTCAGGAGCATTGGTAGGACCTGGGCTCAGCTGGTTGGGGCTATAAATCTGATTGACAGAACTGTTTCTTGTTGGTTTTAGACCTTCTGTGATGAAATGGAGCTTCCGAGTACCTCTGAAGAAGAAATAATAGTTTGCCTGAATTTGAGCCAAAGACCTGAGGCCTTTTGGTCCAGGGAAAGATACAGGAGTTGGGATGAAGAAACCAGAGAGTTCTGTCCTTTACCGGAGACCCATTGCTACTGAGACTCAGTTTTGTCCTCTGTAAAACAGGGATAATTACTCTCTCACGGGATTGCTGTAAGAATTAAATGAGGTTAGAGAGGAACATCAGAGAAGCCTGCTTTCTGCACTCTGGAGAGCTATATGAGGGTGAATCAATATATAGGGTGGCAGTAGACTTGGTGTGGTTTGGGACTTAAATGGCACCAGTCACCTTTCCCCTGCTAAGCTTTCACCGGTCATGTTCAAGGGCCCTTGGGTAGTGTTGCCCAACTTTGCCTTACTCCCTTCAGGTAGGTCTCCTTGAAGCCACGCCTCTCTTCACTTTGGTTCTTGGTGTCAATGAAGAGCATTTTGAGGACAGAAAGTGGAACCAGTTCCATAGGATGGTAGATTCAGAGTCTGGGCCACCAGGGTGGGTGACGCAGTGCTGTCCCCACAGTCAAGAGACACAAAGCCTCCTTCCGATCCCGCCGTGAGTTCTTATGTCACTGACCATCTGAGCCCTGCCTCCCTGAGCATGATGGAACAGACACGGATAGGTGGGGTGCTATGGCTGCCTACAAACAGAGGTGTCCTGCATTGAGGCCGGAACCCTACAGGCTCAGTCCTATCCTGTGAATTTTCAAGTGGCTCTTCTGCTGGATTTATCTGAGCTCTTGTCAGTCATTTTGTGGCATTTCTGACTCTGTTTTAGGCCAAGTGACCCTTCTCTTGTCTGGCCCTGTCTCTCTTAGCTTCAGTTTATTTTATTATTTATTTATTTAGAGAAATAAATTATTTATTTATTTATTTTTGCTTTGCTGCCCAGGCCGGAGTGCAGTGGCACAATCTCGACTCACTGCAACCTCCGCCTCCTAGGTTCAAGCAGTTCTCTTGCGTCAGCCTCCTGAGTAGCTGGTATTACAGGCATGGGCCACCATGCCCAGCTAATTTGACCTCAGGTGATCCTCCTGCCTCAGCCTCCCAAAGTGCTGGGATTACAGGTATGGGCCACAGCAGCTGGCCTACGGCACCCGGCCTATTTTGTTTTCTTAGCATACGGTTACTTGGCCAGAGCACCCACTTACCAATGGCCTGTCCCTCCCAGTGAATACTCTGAATACTCTATTATTCTCAGTTAATTAGTTAATGAGGTCTTAATGGGCCTGGGCTATTATTCAAATTATTGGGTTTAAGCCCTTAGGGTCCCGCCCTGTAGCTGGCCAAGGGAAGGGCAACTTTGGGGCTTTGGGCTCTGTCTTGAAGGGTGGGCCTGAGGGCCTTAGACCACTGGAACTGTGGACTGGGATTGGAGCCCAGGGTTTTGGAGCCAGAGAAGCTGGATGTGGCCTGCTGAGCTGCACAACGGTGGCCTTGACAGAGCCTGACCTCAAGACCAGGCCTGTTTCTGGAAGTGACCTTAGATGCAGAGTCACCATGGCATACAACCCCCTTTTCCTGTCACCCCGTGGCCAGAATGGGGAACTGGTCTCCAGAGGAGGGCCCTGAGAATCCCTGGGTAGCTGGAAGCAGACCATGGTGAAGGGTGAGGCAGTCAGATGGGGCTGTAGTCAGGACTAAGGGCTCTTCTGGCCGTCTGCAGCGCCTGGCCTGTTACTGGGTCTGCAGGAACCGTCCTCCACACACGCCTGCTTCCTCCTCAGGGACCTGACTTAGGGAGGTTGGCTCTGGGTCCTGACTCCCTGTGTCCTGTTTGCCCTCTGCTATCCCCAGAGGCCAGAGATCCAATCAGAGCACCTTCCACCATTTAGGGCCAGCCTGCCTGTCTGCTTTCCAAACCTCATGCTGCTCCAGCGCTGTCCAGGAAACCTTTCCCGCCACACTGGCCTTAATGTTTCCCTGCACCCCCTGTTCCCAGCCTCCAGCGAAGGGGTCTTCCCAGACTACCCCTGGAATCCTAGCTCTGAGGTGATGGCACTGTTGATGAAAAAGCCAAACTCCGTTAAATATTGGAAGAGATTTATTCTGAGCCAAATGTGAGGACCATGACCCGTGACATAGTCCTGGGAGGCCCTGAGAACATGTGCCCAAGGTGATTGGGTTACAGCTTGATTTTTATCCAAGTTACAAGCAAAGACGTAAATTAATACATGTAAGGTATACATTGGTGGGGGCAGGGTAAAGTGGATTAAAAGATTTCCTGATTGGCAATTGGTTGAAAGAGTTGAACTTTGCCTAAAGAGTTAAAGTCAGCAGAAAGAAAAGCTTGGGGTTAAGATAAGGTGGGTTGTGGAAGCCAAGGTTCATGTTATGTAGGTGAAGCCTTCAAGAGAATAGATGGTAAATGTTTCTAAGGTGTCAGACTCTTAGTTAAATCTCTCCTAGATCAGGAAAAGGCCGAGAAAGGGAAGGGAATCTCTGCAGGATATAAATTTTCCCCACAGGAGATTGCTTTGCAGGGCCATTCCAAAATATGTCAAAGAAATATACTTGGTGGTAAAATACTTTGATTTCCTTTAGGGCCTGTTATCTCCCATGTGATGTTAGACCACAGTCAGGTTGGGGTTGGTATCTTAATTGCTGAGAGTCTGCTCTGTCAGTCTTAGTCTGTTTTAATGTTAATGCTGCTCAGTTGTGTCTAAGCTCCAAAAGGGAGAGGCTAGGATGAGGCATGGCCCACGCCCCACTTCCTGTCATGGCCTGAACTCAGTTTTTAGGTTTTTTCAAAATCCCTTTGGCCAAGGGGGGCCCATTCAGGCAGTTTGGGGGCTTAGAATTTTAGTTTTGGTTTACAGCACTCACTCAGCAATCTGGTTTTCCTAGGGCTGGGGTTGACCTCCTTCTGGAGGCTGGTGGTAGAGTCAGGCTGCTTATCAGCCCTGGGACCTCAGGAATGTTCTTGACCTGGGTCAGCTGCCATTTCCTCATCTGTCAGGTGGAGACAATAAAACAGCACTCCTAGGGTGCTTAGGAGGACTATCAATTAGGCAATATATGTAAAGACAATCGAGCCCATTTAACTTTTCTTGGTTTTGTTAACTTCTTTGTGTGGTGATTGTTTGAGAGCCGAGACAGCTGTGATATCACCTTCCCCAGCTCAGTGTGATATCACCTTCCCCTGATGCTCAGCCGGGCGTTCACTAGAGATTTGTTTACGTGTGAATGTGCCTGCCTAGCCCAGGTCTGTCCAAGTTTCTGGGGTGGGCCCAAGCCAGCCAGCAGCCCCCTCAGGAGGAATCTGGCAGCCCTGAGGGATTTAACCACTCACTGACTTCACCTCTTCCTGCATACTCATTTAGGCGATGACATTCTTGGTCTGTAGGTTTAGGTGGCCATATCCACTGGGATGACAGATACCAGGTACCACATATCAGGTACAGGTACATATCAGGCCCCGTGACAGGCGTTTACACATTCTCCATCTGAGAGGTCTCCGCATGCCTACCTAGTTAGTGGCAAATTGCAATGAGACCTTGTGATTGTCCTGATTAGACAAGTCCCTGTCTGTGCTGCTCACACCAGACCCTCGAAGCCCTGTTGAGAAGCAGAAGTGTAGCAAGGGAGCCCTTCCCTTTTGAAGCCAGTACCGTTGTACTTTTTACTGCTGAGCTGGCAGACGTTGGACTGGAACAAGGAGTGAGGGGTGGGGGCAGGGTGTTGCAGGACCCAGCCCCTGAATGTGAGCCCCTGCTTCCTTGTCCCAGTGGGTTCCTGCCACTTTCAGCTGCAGCCTTCCCCTCGAACCCGCAGCTCCGTATCCAAATCAGCCTGTCATTCCCTGCCTACAGGTTTCGATCCTACAGAGCCCTGGCTTTCTGGGCAGCATTTGATGTGAAGCGCCCTTACCACCCACTCCTTGGGGTGGACCCACCCCCGGCACCCAGGACTCCTTGCCTCCCAAGGACTGAGCCCCCTGGACTTTCCTTCCTCGCTTCCTTCCTTCAAATCCATTATCAGTTTTAACTTTTGTGCTCTTCAAAGGCCTTTCGGCTGTGGTTTGAGTAAGAGAGGCTGACTTCCTGCTGCTTGCTGGGAAAGGACTCTGGCTGGGGGATAGTTGCCTGCCCATTCATCTGGCTGCCATCTGTCTCTTCAGGTGCCATGTGATTCTCCGAGGGAGCAGCTGCGTGAGTGGAGATGCTCTCGGTGGAGAATGGACTGGACCCCCAGGCTGCCATCCCGGTAGGTGGGCGAGGGAGGATCAAGGGTGGGGAAGGGGTGCAGGAGACGGTCGTTTCATCTGCTTGGCTCACTTCGAAATGAAGGGCACTGTCCTGCAAGAGAGGCCAGGCTGAGAAGAAGTTATAGCACAAGCAGGCTCCAAGGAGACCCTGTCCTTTCTAGATCACCTTATTGGTGATAAGATGGAGATTTACAAAAAGCAGTGGGAATTTAAGATCAGTAACCTGAAGACCAAGGATTTCCATTCAGCCCTTAGGCCATGATTTGGTCACAGTCTGGCCAAAGCACTGAGTTGGTGGGAAACAGGTATTCCCAGGCACTGGTTTGTTGTTTTAGTAATGGGGGTAAATTGGTAACTTACATGTATCTGAATACTTACCATTTTCTAGGATATTCTAAATGTAATTATTTGTGAGCAGTTCACTGGAGCCCCCTAGGACCTTTTCTTGGAGAGCCCTTTGCACCCTCCTGGGCTGTCTTGGGTACTCTGGATGGAGCTCTCTGTTCCCTTGGAAAGGCAGGAAGTCAGGTAGCTTTGGGGCTGGTCCCTTAGCAGCATCCTGAGGTGGCTTTCAGGGAGAAGCCAGGATTTCCCTTTCCTCCCTACTGCTGCTTCCCAGCTCAGAGAACTCTCTGCTTGAAAGAAACTATAGCCCTCAGAGATGTGCCTTTCCCCGTCCTGGCCACAGGAGAGTCCAGTTCCACCTGTTTCCCAGCTGGCTTTCATGCAGAGGCTCTTCCCTCCCCTCTGCACCCCCACTCTCCCACCCCTGGCCGAATCCCACCCCAGGACCCTTCAGAGCTAGGGCAGAACCCTGGCCAACTCAGCCTTCTAACAACAGCTGCACAAACTGACTCCATGAGGGTATGCGTTTCTTGAGGGTATGCCTTACTTCTCCCTGTATACCCTAACCCAACACCTAGTAGGTGCTCAGTTGAATGAAGTGTGTATGTGCTTTTTAAATATAATATACTAATAACATCTTGCATTTAAAAGAACATTTAAAATTAAACTATTTCAAGATTAAAAACTTTTGAGCTTCAAAGAATACTATCGAGAAAATGAAAAGACAACCCACAGAATGGGAGAAAATATTTGCAAATCAAATATCTGATAAGGGTCTAGTATCCAGAACATATAAAGAACACTTATAACTCAACAATAAAGAGACAAATAATCCAGTTATAAAATGGGTAAAGGATTTGAATAGACACTTCTCCAAAGAAGATACATACATGGCCAGGAAAGATGCTCATTATCATTAGACATCAGGGAAATGCACGTCGAAACCACAGTGAGATACTACTTCACACCCCCTAGGATGGCTGTAATAAAAAAAGCGACAACTAGTGTTGGCAAAAATGTGGAGAGGTTGGAACTCAGATATTGCTGGTGGGAATGTAAAATAGTGTAGCCACTTTGGCAAATAGTTTGGCAGTTCCTTGATAAGTTAAACATAGAATTATGTATACAATTCCACTCCTAGATATATACCCAAGAGAACTCAAAATATAAGTCCACTCAAAAACTTGTACATGGATGTTCATAGCAGCATTATTGATAATAGCAAAAGAGTAGAAACAACCCAAATGTCTATTAACTGATGAATGGATGAATAAAATGTGGTAAAATTCTGGCAATAAAAAGGGATGAAGTCCTGATACATGCTACAACATGGTGGAAAATATTATGCTAAGTGAAAGAAGTCAGATTCAAAGGGTCATATGTTGTGTTCATATCTATTCATGTGAGATGTACAAAATACGAAAAACCACAGAAACAGAAAATAGGTTAGTGACTTCATTCACTTCCTATTCCCCTTTCTCCCAGCCCCTGGCAATCACTAATATATCAGTATTTCTTTTTGGGGTGATGAAAATCTTTTTTCTTTTTCTGTTCTTTTCTTTTTTTTTTTTTTTTTTGAGTCTCACTCTGCCGCCCAGGCCGGAGTGCAGTGGCACAATCTTGACTCACACGAACTCCACTCCCGAGTTCAAGCGATTCTCATGCCTCAGCCTCCCAAGTAGCTGGGATTATGGGTGCACACCACCCGCCTGGCTAATTTTTGTATTTTTAGTAGAGACAGGGTTTCACCCATGTTGGCCAGGCTGGTCCTCTGCACTCTGACCTCAGGTGATCCACTTGTCTTGGCCTCCTGAAGTGCTGGGATTACAGACGTGAACCACCATGCCCAGCCAGAAAAATCTTCTAAAATTAGATAGTGATGATGGTTGCACAATTGTGTTAATAGACTAGAAGCAATTGAACTGTACACTTTAAATGGGTGTATTTTATGGTATATGAATTATATCTCATTAAAGCTGTTATATTTTTTCAAATTTAACTTTTCAAAGAATGTTAACATAGTTTTGACTGAAATCAAAATAAAAGATTAAAATATGTATCCATAATCCTATCACCCAACAATTCAAACCAGTTTTTCTTTAATCCCTTCCAGTCCTTTTCCAAACACTTACGTGATTTTCACATACTTATAATTATGCTCAGTTTTACTGTATATTTCCAGAAAGACTATGTACATTTGTGGGTGTCTTCATTTAACAAACACTTTATTATTTCTGTGTGCCAGGCACAGGCCCAAGTGTGACACAAGGGATTGGAATAAAACACTAGGTCTTAGTGCCACACTTACTTATATATATACACATATATATATATCACATTGTTTTTTTTTTTTTTTTTTTTTGAGATGGAGTCTTACTCTGCCACCCAGGTGTAGTATTAGTGGTACGATTTTGCTCACTACAACCTCCGCCTCCCGGGTTTTAAGTGATTCGCCTGCTTCAGCTCCTAAGGTAGCTGGGATTACAGGCGCGCATCACCACACCTGGCTAATTTTTGCATTTTTAGTAGAGACAGGGTTTCACCATGTTTGCCAGGCTGATCTCAAACTCCTCACCTCAAGTGATCCACCTGCCTTGGCCTCCCAAAGTGTTGGGATTACAGGCGTGAGCCACCGCACCCAGCCTCTTTTTAGAATTTATCTAGTAGGCGTTCTGGTTTTTACCAGAAACCACTTCCCTGAAAAAAAAAAAAAAAAAGGTAGTCCTGTCCTCAGGAGAATCCTCATATTACTATATATCAGAAAGTATTATTTCCACTTTAACAGATGAGGAAATTGGGGCTCAAAGAAGTTAAGTGGAAGGTCTAAGGAGGCCCGTCTGGTTACTGACAGCTAGGACTGAGCCTAGTCCTCTGACTTCCAGGCCCAGGATCTTTCTTTTTTTTTTTTTTCTTTCTTTTTTTGAGACAAGGTCTTGCTGTGTTGCCCAGGCTGGAGTACAGTGGTGTGATCATAGTTCACTGCAGCCTTGAAGTCCTGGACTCAAGCAGTCCTCCTGCCTCTGACCTCCCAAAGTTCTAGGATTACGGGCTTGAGCCACCACGCCCAGCCTAGGATCTTTCTTAACGTAAACCATGCTCCTGTTCTCCTCGTGTTTTTATTACTCTGAAGCAGTGTGGGTGTTTTTTGTTTGTTTGTTTGTTTTTGCCTCTTGGCTTATTGATTCTCTACAGAAACTTGTCCATGTGAAAAAGGTGGGCACTGAAAGACATGCAAAACAACAATAGCAGTGATTATCTCTGGGTAGTGTGTGATTTTCCTTTTCTTCTCTATGCTTTATCTTTCTTTGCTATAGTTAACAATGTGCTAATTTTACAGAAGAAATCTACAGACACACCCATAGATGTGTGTGCATGTGGTTGCACATGTATTTGGCATCAGGCAAAGGATTACACTCCAGGGACTCTCCATAGCATTTTCCGCTAAAGGCCTGTGTTCTGTGTGATGCTGCCTAGGTCATCAAGAAGAAGCTGGTGGGATCCGTGAAGGCCTTGCAGAAGCAGTACGTGTCCCTGGACACAGTGGTCACTAGTGAAGATGGAGATGCCAACACCATGTGCAGCGCCCTGGAGGCTGTGTTTATCCATGGCCTGCACGCCAAGCACATCCGAGCTGAGGCTGGAGGAAAAAGGAAGAAAAGTGCCCACCAGAAGCCTCTGCCCCAGCCTGTCTTCTGGCCCCTCCTGAAAGCTGTCACCCACAAGTGAGATTTAGCTGGAGAGGTTTTGCTTTGGGGAGGAGCAGCAGAGTATGGGACACTTAGCTTTTCCTCCCCAGCTGTTCAGGAAGCCAACAGAGGTGCCCTGTGTTCTAGCATAGAGATAGGGTGAGGTAGGGGTTGAAAGTGTTTTCTAGAGAGGCATATCTCTAGATCAAGCTTCCCAGCCAGCGTGCCAGCAGATCTTGAGACCCTCAGCACTCAGGCAAGAGCCTGTGGTTGCTTTGAGCCCTGGGACTGGTCGCCTTTAGCAGGAACAGCCTTTTTTGCCACACCAGGGCAGAGTTACATAGTTACAACAGAGGTTGTGTGGCCTGCAAAGCCTCAAGTATTTACTATCTGGCCCTTTACAGAAAATGTTTGCTGACCCTGCCTTAGATTATTCGAACATCTGAGTTGTAAATCTGTTTTTTTTTTTTTTTTTTTGGGACGGAGTTTCGCTCTGTCACCCAGGCTGGAGTGCAATGGCGCGATCTCGGCTCACTGGCACCTCTGCCTCCCAGGTTGAAGCAATTCTCCTGCCTCAGCCTCCTGAGTGGCTGGGATTACAGGCACGCACCACCATGCCCAGCTAATTTTTTTATTTTTAGTAGAGACGGGGTTTCACTATGTTGACCAGGCTGGTCTTGAACCCCTGACCTTGTGATCCTCCCACCTCGGCCTCAAAAGTGCTGGGATTATAGGCGTGAGCCACTGCACCCGGCCATAAATGTTATCTCTTAAGGAGGTATGGGGTTATTTTTATTAAAGAGTGGAATCAGGAAGAGCATATGAATATTCACCCTGAGACACTTATCTCTTGTGTCTGGACTTTTGAGCAAGTAGCTGGCACTGTGCCTCTAAGGACTACTAAATGTCACCTTCAGCCCAAAGAAGCCTTGTCAGTCTCTGATCTTCCTTTCCATGCTGACTGCCACTGCCCTGTCTCACGTTTTTACTTCTTTCCTGGGTGACACTGGCTTTCTATTTGTCCCCCTTACCTCACTCTGTCTTTCCTTGAGTCCGTCATCTGGTCAACATTTACTGAGGTGAAGCTCCCTGGAGCTTACTCACTGAGCCTAGTAGAATGCAGTCTGCATTCCCATGGGGGAGATAAACCCACGCTAGGGACTGTGGTAGCTCAGAGGAGGGGCATGTACATCAGACCGAGGCATTCCGGGACTGAGTCTGGTACACCTGGGGTCTGATCTCCTTATGCAGAACATCTACCCTGCAGTCTGCATGATTGTGGTCAAGTCACTTTTCTAAACAAAGATCTGTAGCCCACAGGCTCCCAGATGCCAGCCTGGAGACTGATTCACTAGGTTGGGGCCCCAGAACTTGTATCCTGCTCAAGTTCCCCAGGGGATTCTGGTGCATGGCTGGGTGTGGAGCCATTGCCCCGTGTTGCCTTATTGGTTTGATATTCAAGACTCTCTCTTTCCTGGCCTTGCAACCAAACTACCCACTCTTCCGCCACATGCTATAATTGGAGCTCTCCCCAGTCCTCTTACAGGGTTGTTGATTTCCTGCCCTTTATGCCTTTTTTCATCAGTCCCTTGTGCCTGAGGGCAGGGACCATGTCTTTACCCTGCATCTTCACTGCTGCAAGGACTTTGCACTTAGGGAGCTCTGACAGCATGCCTTGGATGAGCAGATGATGTCAGGGGCCCAGTGGTAGTTGGAATGAACATGGAAATTATCTTTCACGATTCCAATCTCAGAAGGTTGGGGGTTATAGCTTAGTATTTCCTTTAAACACTTTTCCTTTAAAACTATATATATATCCTAGGCTGGAGTGCAGTGGTGCAGTCTTGGCTCACTGCAACCTCTGCTTCCCAGACTCAAGCTATCCTCCCACCTCAACCTTCTGAGTAGCGGGGTAGCTTGGACTACATCTGCAAGCCACCACATCTGGCTATGTTGTTGTTGTTGTTGCAGAGACGGAGTTTCGTCCTGTTGCCCAGGCTGGTCTCGGACTCCTGAGCTCAAGTGATCCACCTGCCTTGGCCTCCCAAGTGTTGGGATTACAGGCGTGAGCCACCACATCTGGCCTAAAACACTATTACCAAATATTTTTGCATGCCTTTATCTATTTGCAGTGGTTATTCCTGGTTCCTGCTAACCAGTGGATAAAAGCACATCTCTGTGATTTGGGGTGGTTTCTTGAAACATGTCTGTTCTCCCTTCCCAGACACATCATCTCGGAGTTGGAGCACCTGACGTTTGTTAACACAGATGTGGGCCGCTGCCGGGCATGGCTGCGGCTGGCCCTGAACGACGGCCTGATGGAGTGCTATCTGAAGCTGCTGCTGCAGGAGCAGGCCCGCCTGCGCGAGTACTACCAGCCCACCGCCCTGCTCCGGGATGCCGAGGAGGGCGAGTTCCTCCTTAGCTTCCTGCAGGGCCTCACGTCCTTGTCCTTCGAACTCTCCTACAAGTCTGCCATCTTAAATGAATGGACGCTTACCCCACTGGCCCTGTCTGGGCTTTGCCCGCTCTCTGAGCTGGACCCTCTCTCTACCTCTGGTGCAGAACTACAACGAAAGGAGTCTCTGGATTCCATTTCCCATTCCTCAGGCTCTGAGGACATCGAAGTCCATCACTCGGGCCATAAGATCCGGAGGAACCAGAAGCTGACTGCCTCCTCCCTCAGCCTGGACACGGCCAGTTCATCCCAGCTGTCCTGCAGCCTAAACTCTGATAGCTGCTTACTCCAAGAGAATGGCTCCAAGAGTCCGGACCATTGCGAGGAGCCCATGTCCTATGACTCAGACCTGGGCACAGCAAATGCTGAGGACTCAGACCGGTCTCTGCAAGAGTGAGTACCCTGCCCCCACTCCTTCCCATTTTCTCTCCTCCCTCCTTTCTTTCCTCTCCTCCTCCCTTTCTTCCTATGGCATGTGATTGCCTGTTACTGAACTCTATTAGTAATTAAAGAAAGCCAAGGGAGACATCGACTTCTCCAGGGACTGGAATCACTGGGAGCTGTAGCAGGCAATACAGGCATAGTGGAGAAAGTGGACTTAGAACAGCTTAGAGCTGGTTTGGGCTCCAGCTCTGCCCTGGTGACAGGGCTGGGTGCGGTTCATGCCTGAAATCCCAGCACTTGGGAGGTTGCAGCAGGAGGATTGCTTGAGCCCAGGAGTTCAAGGCCAGCCTGGGCAATGTAGCGAGATCCCACCTCTAAATTTAAAAAAAACCACTAAAACTAAAAACAAACAACAACAACAAACCAAGTTACTTAGTCTCTATAAGGCACAGTGTAAAATATTGTTGTCTTCATCTAGAACGAAGGAAACTAATAGGTCAGAGCACATTTAAAACTTCCAACAAATAGATGAAACATAATGCATAAGGGTGTGACTTCACAGAAGACCTCCTGGGGGACACAGGACCTGAGTGCTGCATGCAGGAGGTGGTGGACAGCTGGGGACAGACAGATGTGTGGAAGAGTATGTGGGGCAGATGAACTTGGCTAGAGAGAGAGCTGGGCAAAGCCTTCTTCACACAACCTTTCAAAAAATTTTTGCAGCCAGGTGTGGTGGCTCACACTTGTAATCCCAGCACTTTGGGAGGCCAAGGCAGGCAGGACGAGGTCAGGAGATCGAGACCATACTGACTAATATGGTGAAACCCCATCTCTACTAAAAATACAAAAAATTAGACGGGCATGGTGGCGGGCGCCTATAGTCCCAGCTACATGGGAGGCTAAGGCAGGAGAATGGCGTGAACCAGGGAGGTGGAGTTTGCAGTGAGCCGAGACCGCGCCACTGCATTCCAGCCTGGGTGACAGAGCAAGACTCTGTCTCCAAAAAAAAAAAAAATTTTTTTGCGTAATCTTTTTATGGTTAAAAAAAGTCTAAAACATATATAGTGAAAGCCTTTCCCATTCCTGTTCTCCCTCTACCCTGTTCTTTCCTCCCACCCCTACAACCATAATAATTAATTTCCTGTATATTCTTCCAAATTTCTAAATTAATCTACAACAAATACCAGTATAAAGATTTTTAACTGGGTGCAGTGGCTCACGCCTGTAATCCTAGCACTTCAGGAGGCCAAGATGGGCGGATCACAAGGTCAGGAGATCAAGACTATTCTGGCTAACACAGTGAAACCCTGTCTCTACTAAAAATACAAAAAATTAGCTGGGCATGGTGGCAGGCACCTGTAGTCTCAGCTACTCTGGAGGCTGAGGCAGGAGAATGGCGTGGCCCTAGGAGGCGGAGCTTGGGCGACAGAGCAAGACTCCATCTCAAAAAAAAAAGATTTTAAAAATTTACTCCTTATTTATTACTTTCTCCCCTACAAAGGCAGTATATACACACTGTTCTATATCTTATCTTGGAGAAGATCTTTTCATATCAGAGCTATTTCATTCTTTTATTTTTATTTTTTATAGAAATGGGGGTCTCACTGTGTTGCCCAGGCTGGTCTTGAACTCCTGGGCTCAAGAGATCCTCCTGCCTTGGGCTCCCAAAGTGCTGGGATTATAGGCCTGAGCCACCCCGCCCAGCCTCATTCTTTTTTTTTCTATTGCATATTGTTCCAGTGTATGAATGTACCTTAGTTTACTTAATCAGCCCAGTATTTAATGGGTGCTAGGGCCCATGTGTTCATAAATAACCTTGTGTATGTGGTCTTTTAGTTCTGCATAACTATCTCTGTTTAGTAAACTCCCAGAAGCAAAATTGCTGAGCAAAAGGACAGACTAATATAGAATATTCACAGATTATTGCCCATTTACACTCCACCAGGAATGTCCTTGTTTCTTAGCCTTGCCAACTGATGGTATTAGCGAACTTTTGGATCTTTGTTCATCTGATAGGTGGAAAATGGGAACTTCTTATTAAAAGCCTCCTTCAGTTGGACCCATGTTCCATCAGCTGAAAAGAAGATCCCATGTGTTTGGGACCTTCTTTCCACTCATCCTATGCCCTTGCCTTGGTTCAGGTCCCTCTAGGGTTCTCATCCAGCATAGGAAGAGCACCAGCATTGGGTGGTGTTGCGGACTGGGCTTGGAGCAGACCTAGTTTCAAGTCCTGTTCCACCACTTACAAGCCCAGGAATGTCAGGCACATTGCTTGTTAGTCAAACGCATATAGGAAATTCTCTTGTAGGCCCCGAAATAGCTTCTGAGCACATTAGGTGGAGTTTTCAAATGTTAAATGGAGGAATTTAGATAGAATACATTGGGGAGGAACAGTCTCTGTCTCCCATGACCACTGGGACCGTGGTGTGACAGGCCTGCAGTGTGACCCGGGCACAGGGCATGACGTAGGCTCACTTACCTGTCTTAGCCCTTCCTGTGTGTCTGCCTCCTCTGCAGACCAGCCAGCCATCCCCTTGTGATATGTCTTGCTTTTATCTCATGTGTCTTGTGATTGGAAAATTCCAGCTTAAGGTCACTGAATCAGTAACCATTCTCTCTGTGCAGGAAGTGTTGTCCCGGCTAGTATGGGGAAACTGGAGGGGCAAGGGTCAGGATGTATAGACGAATGCCAGACGGTGGTGTGAGGAACTGGCAAATCTAAGACATACAGATGCACAAACACACAGCCAGCACCAGCATTCGTAGAGCTGGGCCTTGAAGTTAGTCCTTGAGCATCTACAGAGACCAGCATTTCTTGAAGTGTGTATTTCAAGGGTAAAATGTTCTCACCGACACTTAGAGTTCATCAAAGTTATTACATTATTTAAATATTTGTAACTTTAAATTAGACATAAATTCCTTGTGCTTATCATTACACGTATAAAATCAAAACATCCACAAATTAAACATAAAAGCATAAAAGACACAACATTCAAAATGAAATAAAGCGGTTCTGTTTGGCAGAAACCAAATTGCAGTTGGGCTAGTGAATTGACTGTCCTGAATAGCTCCTTCCGTGTAGACTGGATCTGTATTATAATGATCACTGAGTGGCATAGGTATCATCTGGAGGGTTTAAGTACTTAGATTTAAGTACTTAGAATAGTCCCTGGCACATAGGCATCAATAGTGCTCAAATGATGGTATTGTTGTATTTTATTTTATTCTATATTTTATTTATTTTTTGAAATAGAGTCTTGTTCTGTCCCCCACGCTGGAGTGCAGTGGCGCGATCTTGGCTCACTGCAACCTCCACCTCCTGGGTTCAAGCGATTCTCCATCCTCAGCCTCTCTAGTAGCTGGGATTATAGGGGCCCGCCACCACACCCAGCTTATTTTTGTACTTATTGTAGAGAAAGGGTTTCACTATGTTGGCCAGATGAACTCCTGACCTCAGGTGGTCTGCCCGCCTCAGCCTCTCATGCCCAGCCTGGGTAGACATATGTTTTTAATTATCTTAGTTATATACCTAGGGGTGGAATTGCTGGGTCATATGTAACTCTATGTTTAACTTTTTGAGGAACTACCAAATTGTCTTCTGCAGTAGTTGTGTCATTTTACATCCCCACCACTAATATATACGAGCTTTAATTTCTCTACATCTTTGCCTACCCTCGTTATTTTCTTTTTTATTATAACCAACCCAGTGGGTATAAAGTGGTATCTCATTGTAGTTGTAATTTGCATTTCTCTGATGATTAATGATGTTGAGTATCTTTTCATGTGCTTATCGAACATTTGGATATCTTCTTTGGAGAAATGTCTGTTCAGATCCTTTGCCCATTTAACAGTTTGGTTATTTGTCTTTTTATTGTTGATTTGTGAGTGTTCTATATATATTCTGGATAATAGGCCCTTCTATATAATTTAAAAATATTTCCCTCCATTCTTTGAGTTGTCTTTTTAGTTTCTTGATAGTATCCTTTAAAACACAAATGTTTTGGCCCAGGCGCGTGGCCTATGCGTAAGTCCCTAGCACTTTGGGAGCGAGATTGGGGGATGCCAAGGTCAGGAGACTCGAACCATCCCTGGCTAATATGTGACAACCCGCATCTCTACAAAGAAAAAAAATACCAAAAAATTAGCCAGGCGTATGTGGGCGCGGCGCCTGTATCCGCAGCTAACGGGCAGCCGAAGGCTGAGCGCAGGAGAATGGTGTGAACGCACGGAAGCAGAGCTTGCAAGTGAGCGAGATGGCGCCACGCCTCCAGCCCTGGGGCAGACAGAGCGAGACTCCATCCCTCAAAAAATCAAAAAAACCACAAAACGTTTTATTTTTGCTTTTTTGAAACAAGTCTCACCTCCTGTCCGCCCAGCTGAGTGCAGCTGGTGTGACCATCGCTCACTGCAGCCCTCCCGCTCCAGGGTTTGAGTGATTCCCTGCCTCAGCCCCCAAGTAGCTGGACTTACAGGTGCGACCACCCACGCGCCAGCCTATTTTTTGGTATCTTTTTATTAGAGACGGGTTTCAGCATGTTGGCGCCAGGCCTGATCTCGAACCCTCCTGGCCTCCAAGGTGATCCACTCTGCTTTGGCCTCCAAAGTACTGGGTCACAATTTGTTTTTCATGCCCTTGCTACCGCTATAGATCTCACGTTAAAACACCATTGCCCTAATCCAAAGACATGAAAGCTTTATACCCCTTCCTCTGAAGATTGTATTTAAGCTTCCTTACCCCTTAGGTATTTTTAATCCCTTTGAGTTCATTTGTATACAATTGAGATAGCAATCAGCTTTTTTCTTTTGGCAATGTATTCCACTTACCTCAGCAACAATTGTTGAAAGAACCCTATTCCTTCCCCATTAAGTGTGTTGGGTCCTAATGTTGAAATCAATTTACTTTTTTTTTTTTTGAGATGGAGTCTCACTCTTTTACCCAGGCTGGAGTGCAGTGGCACGATCTCGGCTCACTGCAACCTCCACCTCCCGGGTTCAAGCAATTCTCTGCCTCAGTCTCCCGAGTAGCTGGGATTATAGGCACCTGCCACCAAGCCCGGCTAATTTTTGTATTTTTAGTAGAGACGCGGTTTCGCCATCTTGGCCATGCTAGTCTTGAACTCCTGACGTTGTAATTCTACCCGCCTCAAACTTCTAAAGTGCTGGGATTACAGACATGAGCCACTACACCCAGCCAAAATCAGTTACTTATATATGGATTGGCCACCTATTCTTGACTATAATGTCTTGAAATGTTGTTTGGGGTTAAGATGGTGCAGAGCTCACTGGGAAGACAATCAGGTAAGCAACTTGAATTCTAAAATCCTCATTTCCATAAGCCCAAATTAAGCTGAGCTTCATGTATCTTCTGGATCCAGTACAAGCCATCAGGGCAGATGCATGGAGGCTTTGGGGCCTTAGACAGCCTGTGGCCATCTGAACCTGTCTTTGCCCATGACATGCTCCACTGGTTTTATAAGCAGAAGATATAGCAAACGGGTTTATTTTCGAAATGGAGCTTGGATCCTCAGAAGCCTCAGGAGAGAGAGGAGCAGTTGCTAGTCAGTGCACATTCCAGAGGGCCCAGGACATGTTTCTGTGCACTGTGTATGTGTGAGTGTGTGTGTGCACACACATGTACCAAGACAGTAACATTTGCTCCCTGTGGCCCCAGGAAGCAGCACGGAGGAGACAGGGAGTGGCAGTCGCACTATGGAGAGTGAGCAGGGGCACATCTCATGTGTACTCATATCCACCCTCACACACCTGGTGTACACTGAGCTCCAGAAGCACTTTCTGGGGATGTGACGCTTTGCTGTCTCCACACCCAGTCCAGCTCTGAGGGGACCAGCCCTTGCACCTCCCCCAGTCCTGCTGTCCCAGTGCCTGCCCAGGAACAAAATATGACCTCGCTCAGGAAACCTGGTTAGCCCTTGCTGCTCCTAGTCCCTGCCCCAGGGCACAGAGTCCCGGCACCTCAACTCTCTGTGCTGAGGAGGAGGCCTGTTCTGAGACACTGTCCTTGGAGGCTCTGCTGCACACCATATTTGGGAAAACGATTGCCCACACAACTGTGTGTTTGGCTGAGCAAGCTCTCCAGGCCCACAGCTAGCCTGCTCAGAATGCCAGTAAGTCCTCATTCATACCAAGTCCTCTTTCTCTGCTGTGGGAGCTTTTTCACCTGAGATCCCAGGCTCCACAAATCACCTGCCTACCCAGTCTGCCTAAATCCTGGCCAGGAAGAACGTGGTGGGAGTGTCAGAGGAGGACTGTGTGATGGGGAGTGCAGTGGATAATTAAGAAGGTGTGGGTTGTTTTAAATCATAAAACAGCAGTTTTGCATTCTTCCCTCTGCCCCAATAGCCTTGGGCATTGTCGCAGACAACCTGTCACACAGGTTTCTTTGTTTAAAACTTCTAGGGTATTGTTGGAATTCAGCAAAGCCCAGGTAAATTCTGTGCCAACCAACGGACTGAGCCAAGAAACGGAGAGCCCCACACCACAGGCCTTGCTCTCCCTCCATGGCCTCAACACCAGCACACACCTGCACTATGAGGCACCTGCAGAGCCCCTTCCTGCCCAGGCAGCCTCTGGAACTCAAGATGGTGTCCACATGCAGGAGCCGCGTCCCCGGGCGCCCAGCGCCCTGGACTTACAGCAGCATGTAGAGAGCACCTCAGGCCAGCAGCCTTCTAGTACCGTCAGCAAGACAGCCAGAGAAGTGGGCCAAGGGAATGGCCCACAGAAGGCCCAGGCTCATGACGGAGCTGGTCTGAAGCTGGTAGTTTCCTCACCCACCAGTCCGGTGAGTGGTGCAAGCCGTTCAGGGGGCAGTCTTGGGAAATGTCAGCTGACGCAGGGTTTCCCCAGCTAGTGACCCTGCGTGGTCTCTGCCTTCTCCCTGTTAGCCTTCCTCTTCCTGCATGGTGATAGTGTTAATAGCATCGTGATGATGGAATTCATGTTTCTTGGCATGTGAGCTGTAGATATAAGCCAGGCACTGTGCTGCTCACTTCCCGTGTGTATCTCCTGTCATTTTCACGTCACTCTGTGAAGGTCGTTCTCATCTGACCGCAGTCTCAGCTCTTTAACCACTGCCACTCACTAGCTAAGGCCTTGGGCAAGTCACTTCAGCTCTCTGAACCTTTATTTTCTCCTTAGTACTTGTTATTATTAAATTAATATTTTTTGATTTTTGGTTTTTTGGTTTTTTTCAGATGGAGTCTTGCTCTGTTGCCCAGGCTGGAGTGCAGTGGCACAATCTCTGCTCACTGCCACCTTCGCCTCCTGGGTTCAAGTGATTCTCCTGCCTCAGCCTCCTGAGTAGCTGGGATTACAGGTGCCCACCACCATGCCCAGCTAATTTTTGTATTTTTAGTAAAGATGGGGTTTCACCATGTTGACCAGGCTGGTCTCAATCTGCTTGCCTCGGCCTCCCAAAGTGCTGGGATTACAGGCATGAGCCAGTGCGCTCAGCCTATTAAATTAATATTTTTAGAAAATACTAGGCCTTGAACATACTCATTTTGCAACATGACCCAGGTTTTAGAGCTGTGCTGTCCAATATGGCAGCTACCAGCCACGTGTGGCTGTTGAACACTTAAAATGTGCCACGTCCAAATGGAGATGTGCCATGTGAAATAAGCGCTGGATTTCAACAACTTAGTATGATAAAAAAAATAGAAAATCTCATTTTTATGGATTACAAGTTAAAATGAAAATATTTGGGGGCTGAGCATGGTGGCTCACACCTGTAGTCCCAGCGCTTTGGAAAGCCAAGGAGGGAAGATTGCTTGAGTCCAGGAGTTGGAGACTAACCTGGGCAACAAAGTGAGACCCCATCTCTACAAAAAATACAAAAATTAGCTGGGCATGGTAGTGTGTGGCTGTAGTCCCAGTTACCAGGGAGGTGGGAAGATGGCCTGAGCCCAGAAGGTTGAGGCTGCAATGAGCTGTGATTACATCACTGTACTCCAGCCTGGGTGACAGAGGGAGACCTTGTCTGGAAAAAAAAAAGAAAAAAAAAAAGAAAGAGAAAAAAAGATTTTGGATATATTGTATTAAATAAAATATATTATTAAAATTAATTTCACCTATTTCTTTCTACTTTAAAACAAAATTTATGTTTAAACCATGGCCTATTAACACAGCCCTAGGAGATCTTGAGAACCTGTGCCATACTTTTTAAAAATGTGGCTGCTAGAACATTTAAAATTGTATATGTGGCTCATACTATATTTCCATTGGACAGTGCTGTTGTAGAATAAGCCAATCCAGCCATGTGCAGTGACACAAGCCTGTGGTCCCAGCTAGTTGGGAGGCTGAGGCAGGAGGATTCCTTGAGCCCAAAAGTTCGAGGCCAGGGTCAACATAGTCCCTGAGGGAAGCCAGCCCTGGGCATCTCCTTGAGAGAACCAAGTGAGTAGAGAGGCTTGAGAACTACTGGCCCAATGAAGCACCAGCCAAAGGCTGTGAATTTGAGCTCTTTTGTCTTTTCCATTTGTTCTTGTTTGGCCTTTGTGGTTTTCCAAAGTTATTGATGTTTACTGAGTGTGGGTAGGAAAAAGATGTGTGTGCTATCTGCCCCTGCTGCAGTTCAAGCCCCAGCGGCCTAGCCAGCAGGGTGAGGGAAAGCAATTGCTCTAGAATGCTAGGGGCAGGTTCCAGAGAAAGTCCACAAGAGAGGAAAGAGACAGTGCGGGTAGGGCTGGTGGTGCAGTGATGGGAGGGAGAGTAAATACCTTTACAGGCTTAGGTGCCTCTGACTACTTCTTTTTCTAAGCTTCACAGTTGTTTTTATTTTGTTTTGTTTTTTTCTTGAGACAAGGCCTTGCTCTGTAACCCAGGCTGGAGTGCGGTGATGCAATCACAGCTGACTGCAGCCTCGACCTCCCATGCTCAAGCAATCCTCTCACTTCAGCCTCTAGAGTAGCTAGAACCACAGGTGGCACCAACTTGCCCAGCTAATTCTTTTTTTTTTTTTTTTAATGGAGATGGGGTTTCATTATGTTGCTTAGCCTTGAGCGATCCTCCCACCTCAGCCTCCCGAAGTGCTAGGATTACAGGCATGAGTCACCATGCCCAACCTGGCTTCATATTTAAACCACACCATGGAGGGCAAGATAGGGTCATGGAAAGCAGAGGCAGGGATTTGTATGCTTGTGCATACACGGACACAAAGCTGGGAGTATATCTCTGCCATGGTCTGGGGCTCAGGGTGAAGTCTAGTCTTGCATTTTCAGCTCTATTCGTGCCCTTCTCTTTGGGTAGTAGCTTCTAGATCAGGAGTGTCCGATCTTTTGGCTTCCCTGGGCCACACTGGAAGGAGAAGAATTGTCTTGGGTCACACATAAAATACAGTAACACTAATGATAGCTGATGAGCTTCAAAAAAATCACAAAAATAATCTCATTATGTTTTTTGTTCTCTGTTTGTTTTTTTGAGATAATGTCTCTCTCTGTCACCCAGGCTGGAGTGCAGTGGTGCGATCTCGGCTCACTGCAACCTCCACCTCCCTGGTTCAAGTGATTCTTTTGCCTCAGCCTCCCGAGTAGCTGGGATTACAGGCGCCCACCACCATGACCAGCTAATTCTTGTATTTTTCGTAGAGACGGGGTTTTGCCATGTTGGCCAGGCTGGTTTTGAACTCCCACCCTTAAATGATCCACCCGCCTCGGCCTCCCAAAGTGCTGGGATTACAGGCATGAGTCATCACACCCAGCCAAAAATCTCATAATGTTTTAAGACAATTTATGAATTTGTGTTGGGCCACATTGAAAGCTATCCTGGGCTGCATGTGGCCTATGGGCTGTGGGTTGGACAAGCTTCCTCTAAGTTATATGACTCAGGATGGGGCCAGGGCCATGGAATAGACAAGCAGAGGCACCTCCCCCCGCCTTTTTTTTAAACAGCTTTATCGAGATAGAATTAAAATACATACAATTCACCTGTTTAAAGTATAATACTGTGTTTTTAGTATATTCATAGGGTTGTGTAATCATCACCACAGTCTAATTGTAGAACACTTCTATCCCCTATGGAAGAAACCTTCTGCCTATTAGCAATCACTCCCCATCTCTCTCCATTCAACCCCTGGCCACCACTAATTTACTTTCTATCTTGATAGATTTGTCCATTCTTGCCATTTTATATAAATGAGGTCATGTAATGTGTGACCTTTTGTGTCTGGCTTCCTTCATGTAGCATGTGTTTTTAACATTCATCCATGTTGTTGTGTGTATGAATACTTCATTCCTTTTGATTGCTGAGTAATACCCCACTGTATATTCCACTGTATGGCTAAGTCACTTTTTATGTAAGGTTTCATCAATTGATGGATGTTTGGGTTATTTCCACTTAGGGCTATTATAAATAATGCTGCTGCAAATATTTGTGTATAAGTTTTTGTGTGGACATATGTTTTTAATTCTCCTGGATGCATAGCTAGGAGTAGAATTTTTCAGATCATATGATAACTATGTTTAACCTTTTGAGGAACTGCCAAACTGTTTTCCAAAGCAGCCTGCCCCATTTTATATTTGCCACATCCCCACCAACAGATGTTACTGTCTAGTTTTTTAAAAAATTATTATGATAGCCATCACAGTGCGTAAGAAGTGGGAGCTCATTGTGGTTCTGATTTATGTTTCCCTGACAGCTAATGAAGTTGAACATCTTTCCATGTGCTTATTGGCCACTTGTGTATCTTCTTTGGAGAAATGTCTTTTCCAAAACTTTGGCCTTTCTAGAGTGCAGTGGTGTGATCACAGCTCACTGCAACCTCAACCTCCCAACCTCAAGTGATTATCCCACCTCAGCCTCCCAAGTAGCTGGGACTATAGGCATGCGCCACCATGACCAGCTAATTTTTTGTATTTTTTGTAGTGACAGGGTTTTGCGATGTTGCCAGGCTGCCCTCAAATTCCTGGACTCAAGCAATTCTTCCGCCTCAACCTCTCAAAGTGCCGGGATTACAGGCATGAGCCACCACATTCAGCCTACCTTTGCCCATTTTTAAATTATGTTTTTGGTTTTTTTGAGATGAAGTCTCGCTCTTGGCCCCCGGGCTGGAGTGCGATGGCACGATCTTGGCTCACTGCAACCTCTGCCTCCCGGGTTCAAGCGATTCTCCTGCCTCAGCCTCCTGAGTAGCAGGGATTACAGGCGCCTGCCACCATACCTGGCTAATTTTTGTATTTTTGTAGAGACGGGATTTTAGCATGTTGGCCAGGCTGGTCTTGAACGCCTGACCTCAGGTGATCCACCTGCCTTGGCCTCCCAAAGTGCTGGGATTACAGGTGTGAGCCACTGCACCCAGCCAAATTATGTTATCTTCTTATTATTGAGTTATAATAGTACTTTTTTCTTTCTTTCTTTTTCTTTTTCTTTTTTTTTTTTTTTGAGACAGAGTCTTGCTCTGTCTCAAGGCTGGAGTGGAGTGGTGTGATCTCAGCTCACTGCAGCCTCAACTTCCTGGGCTCAGGTGATCCTCCCGCCTTAGCCTCCTGAGTAGCTGGGACTATAGCCTCACACCACCATGCCCAGCTAGTTTTTTTGTGTTTTTTATAGAGTAGAGGTTTCACCATGTTGCCTGGGCTAGTTCTTTAAACCGTGTATATTCTGGATACTAGACCCTTACCAGATACATGATTTACAAATATTTTCTTCCATTCTGCAGGTTGTCTGTTCACTCTTTTGATGGTATTTTTGGCAGCATAAAAGCTTTACTTTTGATGTAGTCCAATTTATCTAATTGTGCTTTTGGTGTTCTATCTAAGTACCCATTACCTAATCCAAGGTCACAAA